GATCTCTGCACACATGAGAGGCTGTGGTAAATCCCCTTCCATGTGCACTGTCACGGTATCTGAGGGCACTGCTGCAGCTGACTCAGTTCTCTGTCTGACTCACTCTGGTTTTCTGGGTTAGCACAAGTAGGAGGCCTTGCACTCCCACCAGACAGCCCTGTTTCCTGTGTGTGTGCAGGGCCTGCCCGCTGAGGCAGGATGTGTTGTCACACCACTAGCCTCTCTCGGCTCGCAGAGGAGAATTAGGAAACACAGCGCTTAGCCAGCACGATGGCTTTGCGATTCACTTGCATTCTGTGTCCATTTTACTGAGGAGCTTCCATGCGGAGGCAAACACGGGGAAAAGAGAGTTTCTTTTCCAGTTAAAGAACAATTGACCTTTTGCCTGTGCTTTGTCTTTATTCCTTTGTTATGGACGGAGATGAATGTGGGTTTGCTCTGCAGCTTTTCTCCTCCCAGCCCAGCGTCTGCCCTCTGTCAGACCCTGCAGTGAGCCCCCCTTGATCCTGCTTTCCGACGTGTGGGGCCATGGGAATGCATCTCAGGGCTCTGTGCCTTTTCCCATGCTGGAGCACCCTCCCCAAAGAAGTACGCTGTGCCTCCTCCCATGCCAGGTCCTCCCGCTGTACCACCAGCAACCTTGCCCAGCCCCCATGTTTCCTTGCCTACACTATCATAGAAACAGGTCCCTGTGTAGTTGGTGGCACAGTGCCACTGAATTCTGCAGCAACAGCCCCTAAGTCCTGCGGCAACGTTAACCGATTCTGTCACCAGGAAATACCCTACGGTCCTGGCCCCTGCTGCCCCCCACAAACGCACACACAGCGGTGGCATAAAGTTCATCAAGGAGGCATTTTCAGGTAAGATTTCTCTCCATGCTGTCCGGGAAGCCTGGCTCTACCCACACGAGTCCTGTGAGGTTGCCCTGGCAGGGACGCATATCTTGGGGAATTGTAGGAAGAACACCAAGAAGAAGGCAGGTTCCAGGTGCCCAGTATTCTGAAGGTAACATCCCCAGCTCTGTCTCCAATGACGCCACTAGACATGTTGATTTCAGTGGGAGCTGGAGCACACGCAGCAGTTCTTTTCTGCCCACGTGAAAGCTAAGACATCTCTTCCTTCTGGCCCTAGAACGCTGCGATGACTGGGGAGTGGACACCATGAAACAAATCCAGGTCTACGACGGGGAACCAGCTAGGATCAAATGCCCGCTCTTCGAGGCCTTCTTAAAATACAACTACAGTACAGCCCATTCGGCTGGCTTAACCCTGATCTGGTACTGGATTGGGCAGGACTGGGACCTAGAGGAGCCAATCAACTTCCGTCTCCCAGACAATCGGATCAGTAAGGAAAAAGACACCCTTTGGTTCCGGCCTGCCCTTCTCAATGACACTGGGAATTATACCTGCATGCTCAGGTAAGCAGCACAGTAGGCATCAGACTTTAGGGCATGAAATGCCTTTTATATAACAAGAAAATTGTGTTGCTAGCTTAATATCTTGCTGTCGGGTGATGGCCACTTACATAAGAATTAATGGTGAAAGAATGTGACAGTTACAAGAATTCTCAGTGCAAAGCCAATTTATATTATAATAATGCTTAGCACCTTGCAGACATTAATGCACATACCTCTCCGTGCTAACTGAGAGTGTCCATGGAGAGAATACTGGCAAAATCCACACGCCCTCTCCAGTAAGGCGCAATCTCTATATAGAAGTGGAGATAGCTTCAGAGGCAGGGTAATATGTCAACTGGATGCTAATTTGCCAAAGTTTCCTGACACCCCAAAAGAGTTCCAGGGAATTAAAAACAGCTCCGGGTGCAGGAGAAAATGAATGTAGCATCCCCAAAGCAACAGAGGAGCTCTCAGTCTGTCTTCCTTTTTCACGTCTTAGCCCCGTTGTTTTCATGACGTTGGTAAAGGATGGTGCAGTACATGAGTTGTATTTGCAGGGGGAAAACAGTCTTCAGGTTTTTCTAATGCATTGTGCGGCTGCTGTGTCTGTCTCAGTGTCTGTCTGGAGTTTTCCTACATGCAAATACGACAATTCAAGCTGTATCTATCTCATCAGAGTCGTCATGTCTCTGACCCAAACTGTGACCTTTAATTTTATTTCATTCATAATGCCACATGTATAAACTAGACCACGCTAATCGCGTTTCCCTCCTCTGTGCTTAGAAACACAACCTACTGCAGCAAGGTCGCGTTTCCCCTGGAGGTTGTGCAGAAAGACCAAGCTTCTTGCGTCAGCCAATCAATAAAACCCACCGAAGAGCTGTTCTATTTGGAGCATACTAACGAGAAGATCATTTGTCCGGATATTGATGGCTTTTATCCTCCCAGCATAAAACCAACTGTCCACTGGTACAGGGTAAGAAAGGGAGTAGTGGGACTGTAGCCTGGGCCAGGCAGCGGGGTGCAGTGCTTCTCACCTGAAAGAGACAGCTGTGCGATCCTTGCCATAGACAAACCAGGAGGCCAAATTCTACCCCCAAACTCCCTGATGCAGCTCCATTGACATTACTGGAGCTGCTGCCACAATCTCGCTCCCTTTGAAGTCAGCAGTAAAACGTCCCTGGCTGGCACTGACGCAGGATTGGGGCCTAGATTAATCAGACTGGGACTTTTCAGCTTGGAAAAGAGACGACAAAGGGGGGATATGATAGAGGTCTATAAAATCATGACTGGTGTGGAGAAAGTAAAGAAGGAAGTGTTATTTACTCCTTCTCATAACACAAGAACTAGTAGTCACCAAATTAAATTAACAGGCAGCAGGTTTAAAACAAACAAAAGGAAGTATTTCTTCACACAATGGACAGTCAACCTGTGGAATTCCTTGCCAGGGCATGTTGTGAAAGCCAAGACTATAACACAGTTCAAGAAAGAACTAGATAAATTCATAGAGGACAGGTCCATCAATGGCTATGAGCCAGGATGGGCAAGGATGGTGTCCCTAGCCTCTGTTTGGAAATGGGCACCAGGGGATGGATCACTTGATGATTATCTGTTCTGTTCATTCCCTCTGGGGCACCTGGCATTGGCCACTGTCAGAAGACAGGACACTGGGCTAGATGGACTTTTAGTCTGACCCAGTATGGCCATTCTTATGTTCTAACAAGGAAGAGTTTAGCCGCAGGGTGGCCTTCTGGAGAGGGCAGTAGACCAGGACTCAGGAAATCTTGGTTCAGTTCCTGGGCTGTTGAATGACCTTGGGCAGGTCACATGCCCATTCTGTGCCTCAAGGTTTCCCCATCTATAAAATAGGGCTAGCCATACTGACCTCCTTTGTAAAGCGCCTGGACATCTACGTCCCAATTATTACTATTAGGTGAAGAGGTTGGAAAGTGACGAGTGATTTTCGGGGGCCCGACTGGAGGCACCGCCTGAAAATTAGGCCCCTCTCCGGTGTCTGCAGTTGGGTGCTCCTCACTTTTTAAAATCTTGATGTCTCCTTTGAGGTTTTTGAGATTCCGCTTGCCGTGTCTAGCGACAGGCATTGCAGTGTCCAAGAGGAATAGCTTCATTTTGGTGGTTTACATGACTAATTTGTATCGTCTATTGATGTTCAAATATTGACAATCAATTAGCAGAATGAAACAAAGAGCCCCACTTAAATCATTTTGCAGACAGCAAGCCGTAAAAGTCATTTTGCCTAGTAAAAGCCATTAACAATGGTATATTACCTCTGTCTTCAACTGTCACATTAAGATAAATCTGAGTTGGAAACGCACCATTCAGAAATAATCACTTGGAAAACGTACAAATCTTTGGCTTTTCTGACAGTCAAGTTATCATCAGCATATTTAGAGGATATAAACCTTTCTGAAAAGGGGCCTGTAACTTGGCACTTGGGACAGGTTCCCTGCTTTTTCTGACAAAGAGGAAGGCTTATTAAGGTTCCTGTCCTGTGGATTTCTTTTGGTCAGTTGCTCATTTTGGGTCAAATCCTCAGCTGACATCAATCAGCGTAGTCTCATTGAGAGCAAAGGTGCTATGCCAGCTGCAGACGTGTCCGTGCAACTTGGTGTCAGTTTGTGAATAGAGTTAAGTTTAGTTCTTGTCCTTTTTTTTACTTCCGTATCTTTCTTTCTTCTGGGCCCCTCACCCTTCCAGCATCTCAGCATCGCTAAGAGCTCTTTCTCTTATAGAACCTGATAAGTCAGAGATGGAATAAACCTACTAGAGTCATCTACTCCTTCGCCTTGCCTATTCAAGATTATTCCTTGCAGTACCTGCGCTCGCTGTCATAGAGAGAAAGAAGAAAAACCCAACACACGAAGGGGAGCAGTGGAGACAAAATTTTATTGAGGCAATTTTGTTGGTGCCTGGATACTCCAGTGATTAAGAACATAAGAACATAAGAACAGCCGTACTGGGTTAGACCAAAGGTCCATCTAGCCCAATATCCTGTCTACCAACAGTGGCCAATGCCAGGTGCCCCAGAGGGAGTGAACCTAACAGGCAATGATCAAGTGATCTCTCTCCTGCCATCCATCTCCACCCTCTGACAAACAGAGGCTAGGGACACCGTTCCTTACCCATTGTGGCTAATAGCAATTAATGGACTTAACCTCCATGAATTTATCCAGTTCTCTTTTAAACGCTGTTTTAGTCTTTTAAACGCTGTTATAGTCCTAATTAAAAGCATTGGAAGTGCAAAGGTGGTTAAAGTTTTACTTGCCAGCGTGTTCCATCGCTTCTCTTGTAAACCTTTCCACAGCCCCATAGCTCTTGTTCTGGGACTTTTCCCCTAATCTCCAGCCAGAGATTTTCCTTTTTAATTTCATCCCATTATACCCCTTGGTACTGAGCTAAATAATTCTTCTCCTTTCTTGGTGTTTGTAGCCTCTAAATAACCTGTAGGTAGTTACGTCTTCCCTTTGTTCACTGCTTAGCTAAACGGTGTGCATTTATGGGCTGGTTTCCAGAGGGGCTGAGACCCGCAGATCCAGTTGGCTTTCGTGGGTGCTTTGAAAATCACAGCCTAAAAGAGCCTAATGGCCCAGGAGTTTAAGGGATGTTATGGCAGGAGACACTAGCAGGTGCTGTTACAGTCTCACCTGATCGCTTTCTTACAGCGCGAGCAGCGTACAGTCCGAAGACATGCTGTATGGTTAGTTTTGTGATGTGGAATCTTTGGGGGAGCTGTTATAAACAGTAAGGGAGTTTGCTGTCTGTCTCAATCTCTCTAATTCTTGAGGCAGAGTTGCTCCCTGGGAACCAGGCATTGGCTGATATTTCTGAAAGAGGGGATTTGCCTGCAGGCTGTTTGTAGCATCCTCTGTTCCGGCACAGGTGCCTATAGTGTGAAAAAAGAAGTTAAACAAAGGCAGTACCCAAACTCCACATCAGTGATCTCTCCATCAATGGGAAACTGACCTGAAGAGCCCCAACAACTCATACCGCTTGGAAGAGAGGCAAAGAGGAATTAGACATACAGTTCAATGGGAGCTGGGTGCCAGATTCCTTCCAGTTCCGTTGACTATCCCAGCCTTAATCTTTCCTGAAAAGTAACTTGCTCCATCTGGGGAAACCGAGGCAAAGGGTGGACAAATGTCCCCCTCACCTTATTGGACTCATGAGATTTTAATGCTGTAAAACTTAGACCTTAGCCTGAATTGAATCAAAATCCAAATACTGCCTGCTAGGCTTATTCCAAGCAGAGCTTTAGATTTTTATAGAGGGATTGAAAACAAGTTTCTGAATTTTTGTTCCAAAAATGTAAGTGTTTTGCTGTCTGCTTCTAGAACTGTGTGTTGGTGAATGGCTTCCACGACCGATATCCCAGAGACTCAACACTCATCATTGGCATTGTCCGCGGTGCGTACCAAGGCAACTACACCTGCATTGTGAGCTACACGGAGAACGGAAGGACCTACAACCTCACCAGAAGCATAAGGATGAAGGTAGTAGGTAAGGAGGATAAAAAAACCATGCAGAATTGTAGTGGCAGAGATGAAAAGATCTGGAGAAGGCTCTTGCGGGCTCAGTCAGTGACTGACTATTGGTCCCATCTCTGACTCCTTGGCATAAATGAATTAATTAATCTGCCACCACCAGGTGTGTATTTCGGTTTGCTGGAGTCAGCCTCCCCCGGCGTGTGAATGCCCAGGACACATCTCTGGCTGGGTGAGTAGTGCAAGTGAGGATGAGATGATCTGGGCTGGCCTCTGCTGGCATCGCCTCGTTACGGTCTGTCCATGGTGATCTCAACTCACGATTAGAAACAGCGTCTCATTTTTCCAGTGGCTGCTGTATGTTTCCTACCATCTCTCAGGCTGTATTTTAAAACTAGCAGGCTCATCTGTTCAGACGGTAGGATCTTCAGGGCAGAGGCTGTCTCTTCAGAGCTGCCTACAGTGTGCGTAGCACACACATGTGGTGCTATGCAAGTAACAAAGAACGCTCAGTCTAAGGCCTTGGCTACATTGGCAATTCACAGCGCTGCACTTGTGGCGCTCAGGGGTGTGAAAAAACACCTCCCCTGAGCGCAGCGAGTGCAGCGCTGTAAAGCGCCAGTGTAATCAGCGCCTGCAGCGCTCGCTCGCTCGCAGCGCGGCACGCTATTCCCCTCGGAGAGGTGGAGTACTTGCAGCGCTGCGAGAGAGCTCTCACAGCGCTGGCGGCGCGACTATAGTCGCGCTTCACAGCACAGCAGCGCTGTGAATCCGCAAGTGTAGCCAAGGCCTAAGTGGCAGCAAACGCAATGCAGAATGTAAAGACCTGGTAGACACTAGAACGTGCTTGTGTCAGGTGGTAACAGCTGCTCACGGAATGCCTGGTAGGAGGAGAGAATACTGCTGGCAGGAAAAACCAGTTTTTGTTGTTGTTTTTAAAGAGCAGCAGTAGAAAAATCTGTGGGATAGGCTGAACTGTAGGTAAAGGCCGAAGTGCCTAGATGGAGGTGTGATTCCTCCGGACTGCAGCTGGGCCCAGATCATCTATCCAGACAGCCCTATACTTGGGGGTTTTCAAAATCTGGATTGGGCACCAAGTTTTGTGACTGGGACCACTCTCTACTTAGATCAGCTTCTGCTCTTTGGGACATATGCACAATTCTTAGCAACTCCAGCGGGAGATGGGTACACACATCTGGGGGCTCAGGGAAGCAGGGGGTGAGTGACCCTAGTGTGCGGTCACAGAGGGTAGGGTATATGCAAATGGCTAGTTACTATAAAATAGTCTGAAATCATTCAATATCCTAACGAAGACTGATTGTGTTTTCAACTGGGACCCCGGGTGGGGGGATTCTGTTTTCTGTTCTGCAGGGTCTCCAAACAAGGCAATGCCACCGCAGTTTCTCTCTCCAAATGCGAAAATAATCTACGAACTCGAAGCAGGTAAATCACAGCGGTAGCTGCCCACAGTGATGGGGAAGATTATCTTAAGCCATGTAATTAACAAGCACAGGGGTTCATTTTGGTTGCCTGCTTTCCCACGGCTCTCCTTCGCGTCTTTACATGAAGCATACGGGGGGCCAGGATTGCTTTGCAAGCAGCATGGGATCCTCTCTCTTTTCTGTCGCTTCCAAATTGCCGAAGCCCAATTATGGGACACGAGAACACTGCTTAAGGCAGTTCTTTGAGCAGACAGACTTACTGAAATAATAAACGTGGAAATCAGGCCCCAGCTCGTAGGAGCAGCTTCAGAAGCAGAGAAAGGGGTAAAATGGGGCGCAGCTGGGGGCGTCCGTTCCTCAGAAGTGGCCTAGACAGGGATCTGCAGACATTCAGAGAACTTTCTACAGGTTTAACTGGACTTTCTCTGCCCCGTGCTGATTGTCTGGTTGTGCTAACCCTCCCCTCCCACAGTCTCCTTAGCTTATCTTCACTCCACACCTGCCCGTCTTCTCTCCTGCCCTCTCCCCCACCCCTTTCTTTCTATTTAGCCAATCTCCTCCTAAAATTATGCCCACCCTCACATAGTTCACTCTGCTGATGTGTTTTCCCGCTTCCCCGGCCCTCTGCCTGTCTGGTCTCTTTAAATTGTTAGCTCTTCGAGGCAGGGACCGTCTGATACTCTGGGTTTGCACAGCTCCTAGCACATTCTTTGTTGATCGTTAGGCACGGACAGCTTCCGGGAGCTGCAGTATTACAAATAATAAATAAATAATAAACATGATTCATAAAAAAGAAGAAGATCTTGTCCCGAAGGCACTGGATTTGGGCTCAGGAGATCTGGGTTCAGTCCCTGCTCTGCCACAGACTTCCTGTGGGACCTTGGGCAAATCATTTACTCTCTCTCTGCCTCAGTTCCCCATCTGTAAAATGGAGACAATAGCCCCGTCTGGCCTCCCAGGGGTGTTGAGAATAAACCAATTATTGTGTGTGGGGGGGAACCCCACTGTCATGGGGTTCACTGACAGCTGGGGGTGCCTCCTCCTGGCTGCTCTGGGGACCAGCACCGTCCAGGGCCAGGGCCACCCTTCTGCTGCTTGCTGCACATCCTACTGCTGCACTCTCTGTGACACTTGGCCCTCCGGCCAGGTCGCTGTGCACGCTTCCCCCTTAGGGGGTATCACAGTCTCTTCAAAGCCATCTTCCCAGTCACTGCCTAACTGGTGCCACTTCCCCAGTGGCAGGTAGGGGAACCCGGGCCCACCCTCTACTCCAGGTTCCAGCTCAGGAACCCTCCACTCAGCAGCCATGGGCTGTTCCACCCTGGACCTTGCTGCCTTTTCCCTGAGCCCTTCCTTACCTTCCAGCTCTCCCCACTTCTCTGGGTTTGCCAGCTCCACAGCTCCCTGCTCCCAGGGAGTAACCGTAGGCTACTTGCCTCCGTAGCCCCAAACACACCTCCCTTTTCCCTGGCAGTAACTGCAGGCTGTTTCCCACGGCCCCCTCTGTTATCAGCTTCCTGCCTTTATAAACCCAGCCCATCCCTCTGGGCTTCCTCAGTCAGCCAGGGGATTACTTAAACCTCCTATTGCCCTCAGCTGTGGCCTGGCTGGTTGATTGGCCTCCTCCTTAGCCTACATTAACCCCTTCAGGGCAAGTATGGGGTGAACACCGCACCACAGGCGCTCACAATGTGGTGGTAGGAACCACTTAAGTACCTGGTTAGGGAGAGAGTTGTTTGTTTGTTTGTTTACTGTTTATTTGTAAAACAAAAGTGAAATATTCCCACTACTGCACGGTTATCAGACATTTGAAAATGTATTTTGGCCACATTCCTGGTAGTTTTTGTGTCTTTTGCTAGTTGCTCTTCAGAATCTTTTTTTGACCTGCCTGATTATACTTTTACACTTGACTTGTCTGAGTTTATGCTCCTTTCTATTTCCCTCAGTAGGATTTGCCTTCCAGTTTTTAAAGGATGTCTTTTTATCTCTACCCGTCTCTTTCACTCTGTTGTTTAGCCGTGGTGGCATTTTTTGGGTCCTCTTCCTGTATTTTTTATTTGCAGTATACATTTAGTTTGAGCCTCTATTATGGTGTTTTGAAAAAGCTTCCATGCAGCTTGCAGGCATTTCACTCTTGTGACTGTTCCTTTTCATTTCTATTTACACTCGGGCTATGAAAGGCCTTGGACAGTAGAAGCGATGCAAAGCTGCAGCTGCTACGTCCACTTCACCCTAATCCTCTGCTCCTAGGTGCTGAGCTTGTTCTGCCCTGCGAAGTTTACTTCACCTTTCTGAAGGACTCCCGAACGGAGCTTTGGTGGACAGTTGATGGAAAAAATACAGACGATATCACAGACCTGACAATAAAAGTCTCCGAAAGGTAACGTTTCGTAACGTTCATTGCATAGCTTTTTCAGCCCTCTCCGCTAGCCGCACACGGGATCCCACAGAAAGAGGCCTGGGGTATTCAACAGCACTGCCCCTTTTGGCAACACCTGGAGCTCCCAATGGAAAAAGCCTGTTCAGGTTATTGGCAAGTCTCAAACTTTAGGAGCCAAGGGTCACTCGTTTCTTAGTGTTAGTCAGATCAAATCCCTTCAGGGTGCAGTGCAGCAGCCGTGCGTAGTTATGATACTTAACCACGATCTGCTCATTGTTTGTCACCAAGTTTTCTTTCAAAAGAGACATCGTTAAGAGACTCCATAAGCTAACGAGAGCTCATCATTGGGATTAGCATCACAAACTGGCTAGGGTGTGCCACTGCCCTCTAAGGAACATAAGAGCATAAGAACGGCCGTACTGGGTCAGACAGTCATCATTTTGTTCATAAGAATATTAATAAATATGATGGGTAGTAGAACCAATCCATAATGAGCTTGGGGATGAAACAGAATTCATTTGAAGATGAGCATTATCATCATTAGAATGTCATGTACATAAGAATGCAGGCCTTGCTTATAGGATGGGGCACTCTATCCTGGGAAGCAGTGACTCTGAAAAAGATTTAGGGGTCATGGTGGATAATCAGCTGAACTTGAGCTCCCAGTGTGATGCTGGGAGCTCAAGCTCAAGCTCACATTAGCCAAAATAGCTAATGTGATCCTGGGATGGAGGGCAGGGGGATATAAAGTAGCAGAGCGATTATTTTACATCTATTTGTTGCAATAATGTGCAGCCACTGCTGGAATAGTGTGTCCAGTTCTGGTGCCCGCAATTCAAGAAGGACGTTGATAAATTGCAGAGGGTTCAGAGAAGAGCCACGAGAATGATTAGAGGATTAGAAAACCTGCATTACAGCGGTAGACTCAAAGAGCTCCATCTATTGAGTTTAACAAAGAGAAGGTTAAGGGGGGACTTGATGACAGTCTGTAAAAGTACCTACATGGGAGACAAATATTTAACAATGGGCTCTTCAGTCTAGCAGAAAAAGGTAGAACATGATCCAATGGTTGGAAGTTGAAGCTAGACAAATTCAGACTGGAAATAAGGCGTAATGTTTTAACAGCAAGAGTTATTAACCATTGGAACAGGGCTGTGGTGAATTCTCCGTCAATGACAATTTTAAAATCAAGTTGGGGTGTCAGTCTAGAAGATCTGCTCTATAAATGATTTGGGGCAAGTTGTCTGACCTGCACTATACAAGAGGTCAGACTCAGTGACCACAACTCTCCCTCCTGGCTCTGGAATTTGTGAATCTATGACTAGGTGTTACAGTAGCACATAGAGGTTCCAACCAAGATTGGGGGTCCAGCGTGCTGGTTGTTGTACAGACACATATTGAAGGACAGTCCCTGTTTCAAAAAGAGTTTACAGACTAGACAGACAAAACGAAGTGGAGAAGAAAGGAAATCTTATTATCCCCATTTTAGAGATGGCTAACTGAGGCACAGAGAGACTAAATGACTTGCCCAGGGTCCCATAGAGAGTTTGTGATGAAGGTGGATACTGAACCCAGATCTCATGAGTCTTTGTCCAGTGCCTTATGGCAAGCCCACCCTTCCCCTCTAAAATGCCCCAGGACACCAGTTAAACAATCCTATTTCGCACGCTGGCAATAAGCAAAAGTAATGCCAAGAAAATTAAACGAAACCAGTTCACAGAGCAACCAAAAGGTCAAACCGTTCCGCTGTGAAAAATGAAGCAATTCCTAAATATGGGTGTGATTTTGCAAAAAAGAAAAGGCTGAATTGCGTGTGTGTGTATGTGTGTATATATGTATACGTGTGTGTGTATATGTGTGTATATATATAAAAATCACAAATAGTGCAGCCAACGTTAACGTGTGCAACCCTTTAACTTTTCTGTTCCAGCGTCGTTACTGACGACCTTGGACACAAGCAGGTCACAAAGACTCTGACCATTCCCAAGGTCACAGCCAAGGACTTGAAGCGTAACTACACCTGTCATGCCAGAAACACCAGAGGGGAGGTTCACCATGCGGCCCTGGTGAGAATGAAAGGTAATGGATTTGCTCAACCGCGGCTTAACGGATGCAGCAAGGCAAAAATCTTAGACGCATGGTCGAATATGGAAGAAATTTCTTGGGACAAGATGGGCCTTGGCTGAACGCGGTCATATAAGGGAATAGAGGGAGTAAATATTTCCTGCTCCCTCTGCTCCTGTGTAGCCTTCTTATTGCTACCCAGATGGCACTTCCGGCTATAGGGACGAGAGTGGAGGCTGCATGCCTGATATTCCCCACTGTGCTCAGGTGGGTGTGGAGAAAGATGGGGTGTGAAACCATGGTTCTAGTCCCTCTAGGCACCAAGTGGAGCAGGGCCAAAGAGGCTAGTAAGTTGCACCCTGAAAGGAAGGAAAGGACGAACTCTCCCTCAAAGCAAGGGAGAATTCTGTCTGAGTCACGGTTCCTTGTTGGTGCCGCTTCTGGGGTGGCGCAGCGACTTGTTGCCCTTCCACGGGCTGAGCCTAAAGGCTCGATCTCGCCCTCGGGGAGCAGGGGCTCATGGTGTTCTGCCCCGAGGTGTTTTCCAGTTCAGGGGCCGGCACCAGGTTGTTACACTACGTCAGCGGTCAGACCCCTCTCGGAGGTGCCATCCAGTTGTTCTTTAGACATCTGTTATCTCCGTGGTGCATGGACACGGTTCCCATTTATCTCTGTACCGCAGGAGGAGAAGATACATCCTGCAGCCGCCAGATCTGATGGCTTTTCTATGTTCATTTCTGCTGACCAAGCTGGGTTCGTGTGGGAAGCTGCAGCCCTTTTTGTACTCTGTCTCTTCTTTTAGAGCTCAAGATCCCAGTCACTGAACTACAGAAACCATTCTGCCCTAAATGATGGAAGAATATTTTCCTCCAACCCCATGCCAAGCGGTACATGCAGTGGGTGCTGTCAGCACAGGCTGGGGGAGCTTTTGCTGAGGCCTTGCATTTCTGGACTGTGCACCAGGAAATTGAAAAAAACATGGGCTGATTAGACTTGCTGGTAGAGAGATGCGCTGACCTCCCTTTGTAGCCTAGCAATGCTCACTGTCCCAGGTGCTGCTCAGGCTCTTTTCCCGGCTTTAAACATGGCACCGCTTTGCAAGAGGGTCAGTGGAAACTCACCAAGGCACGAGTACACAGGTTCTTCCCACCGAAGCTGTTCACCCCTGTTAAACCCAGTATTTTTAGTGTGGGGTGACCCAGGCCCTGTGCATCAGTAGAACAGGCCCGTGAGTCAGATAACTGCCCTTCACTGGGAAATGCTAATCTGGGCATCCTCTCTGACCCTGGGGCCTCTTTGAAGAGAAAAGACGTTCGTGGTCTCTCCTGATGGGTTTCCTGGCAGAGTGTCCCTGAGGCAGGTCACCACCTTACTGCTTCCCCGCCAGTGTGACCGGACAGACAGGAAATGTCTTTTGGACGTTGCTGGTGCTTGAAACCCTTCTAGGTCACGTTCCTTTGAGATGCCCAGAGGGAGACTAAACAGACCTCGGAGCATGAAACACTCCGCACCGTGCTCTGGTTTGGGTTCCTGCCTCGGTCACTGTGGGAGGGTGATCTAGAACTGCCAGGACTGGGGGCAAATTCCAGATAAAAAGTAACAGAGGGTCCTGTGGCACCTTTGAGACTAACAGAAGTATTGGGAGCATAAGCTTTCGTGGGTAAGAACCTCACTTCTCACTTGCATCTGAAGAAGTGAGGTTCTTACCCACGAAAGCTTATGCTCCCAATACTTCTGTTAGTCTC